AAAAAAGAAAGAAAATAATTAAAATTTTAAAAAAATTAATTATTAAAGTAAAAAAATTAAAAGTAATAAAAAAAGAAAAGAAATGAGCAACCAAACCAATAAACAATTCCATCAATGATAACGAGCACTAAAAACTATATTAAAAAAAAAAAAAGGACAGATAGAACCCTAGGACAAATGGTAAAAGAAAACCTATACAGAGAAAATCACACAAAGAAGCATACATATACACACTCACAAAAAGAGAAAAAGGAAAAAAATATATATTATATATATAAAATAAAGGAAGAGAGCAACCAAATAAATAAACAAATCCACCAATTATAGTAAGCATAAAAACAGAAAAAAATTAGATGAAGAAAGCAAACCCCAAGTCTACAGTTGCTCCCAATGTCCACCTTCTCAATTTGGGATGATTCGTTGTCTATTCAGGTATTCCACAGATGCAGGTACATCAGGTTGACTGTGGAGATTTAATCCACTGCTCCTAAGGCTGCTGGGAGAGATTTCCCTTTCTCTTCTTTTTTTGCACAGCTCCTGGGGTTCAGCTTTGGATTTGGCCCCGCCTCTGCGTGTAGGTCGCCTGAGGGCATCTGTTCTTCGCTCAGACAGGACAGGGTTAAAGGAGCAGCTGATTCGGGGGCTCTGGCTCACTCAGGCCGGGGGGAGGGAGGGGTACGGAGTGCGGGGCGGGCCTGCAGCGGCAGAGGCCGGCGTGACGTTGCACCAGTGTGAGGCGCGCCATGCGTTCTTCCGGGGGAGTTGTCCCTGGATCCCGGGACTCTGGCAGTGGTGGGCTGCACGGGGTCCCGGGAGGGGAGGTGTGGAGAGTGACCTGTGCTTTCACACAGGCTTCTTGGTAGCGGCAGCAGCAGCCTTGGCGTCTCATGCCTGTCTCTGGGGTCCACGCTGATCACGGCGGCTCGCACCCGTCTCTGGATCTCCTTTAAGCGGCGCTCTTAATCCCCTCTCCTCGCGCACCAGGAAACAAAGAGGCAAGAAAAGTCTCTTGCGTCTTCAGTAGGTCCAGATTTTTTCCCAGACTCCCTCCCGGCTAGCCGTGGTGCACTAGCCCCCTTCAGGCTGTGTTCACGCTGCCAACCCCAGTCCTCTCCCTGGGATCTGACCTCCGAAGCCCGAGCCTCAGCTCCCAGCCCCCGTCCGCTCCGTCGGGGGAGCAGACAAGCCTCTCAGGCTGGTGAGTGCTGGTCGGCACTGATCCTCTGTGCGGGAATCTCTCCGGTTTACCCTCAGCACCAATGTGGCTGCGCTCTCCTCCGTGGTTCCGAAGCTTCCCGCCCCCTGCCCCCTCGCCCACCCTCCGTGTCCACCAGTGAAGGGGCTTCCTAGTGTGTGGAAACCTTTCTCCTTCACAGCTTCCTCTCACTGGTGCAGGTCCCGTCCCTATCCTTTTGTCTCTGTTTTTTCTTTTGCCCTACCTAGGTACGTGGGGAGTTTCTTGTCTTTTGGGAGGTCCGAGGTCTTCTGCCAGCGTTCAGTAGGTGTTCTGTAGGAGTTGTTCCACAAGTAGATGCATTTTTGTTGTATATGTGGGGAGGAAGGTGATCTCCACATCTTACTCCTCCGCCATCTTAAAGGTCCCCCCCCCCCCGGAATCATTTTTGATTCTTTCATGTCTTGACCCCTTTGTGTAGTATTAGGCACATATGGATTAAATGTCTAAAATGCCCTGCACACCCCCACGACCTCACCCCAGTTCAGACCATCATTGGTTCCATCACAGGTTATCAGAATAGGTATCCAGATTGACTTACACTCCTCATCTCTCCCCCCAGTAGACCATTACTACCCATCACTGCCAGAGTTTTCTTTCTACGATTCTGCTGGAAAAATCACTCCACCTGGCTCCCCATTGCCTGTTCAATTATGTATTCAATTATGTATAACCTCATTCAATGCCTTGATAACCTGCCTCCAACCTAACATTCTTTAGCAATTTCTGACTTCACCCTTACATTACATCCTACATGCAGTACCAAATTTAATCACTTTCTTTCTGTAGTTTCCAGAGCCTCTGCCTTTCTTTATACCATTCCATCCACATGGTGGCCTTTTCCAACCTCAAGGCCACCATATCCATCCATCCAAGTCCTACCCATTTTTCAAGATCCAGATCACATACCACCTCCTCTGTGAAGTCTTCCCTGAGTGATCCAGTGAGATGTGACTTCTGCCTCTCTAAGCTATTACAGCTCCATTATTCATATTATATAACAACTAATCATATTTGGTATAGTTTCGTGGTATTTATGTAAATGTCTCATCTTTATTATCTCTTTAATCTCTTAGAGCAGATTTTTTGTCCTACCATCTGTCATCTGCAAAGTCTGACACAATGTTTTGTGCAAAGTAGAAATGTTTATATAGTAGATAATGGTAAAACAATGATGAGCAGTGAGAAAACCCTGAGTATAAACATTCCATAGTTTAAATCCTGTGCCTACAAAATTTTTCCTTGTTTAATGGAATTTAGCAGTGCTAAGAATGTTATTAAGGATTGCAGTCTCAGTCAAAGAGCTGAAGAGAAGAAACAGAAGTGACACTTAGCTCTTTGCTGCAAACTCATGGACAAAGTAGTAGCTCTAGATCCAGACAGAGATAGTCGAAATTATCCTGAATGTTTTCATTTCTTTGTTGTCTAAGTGCCTAGATCTCTAATTTTATTTAATTATTTTTGTTTGAGGTAATATTTTATTTTTAATAGGGATTGGACAGTTTTTTGGACTGGATAGATTTTTGGTGGGTGTTTAAGGGAGAGATAGGTGAGTGATGCTGAAGGGCACTTATGGTTTGGCACAAGTCCAACAAAAACAGTGAGAGCTGCAGTTAGTTTAACTTTCCTGTCCCCTCTCCCTCACCAGGATGCACGAATTCCACAGCCAGATACATTCTTCATGGGGAGAAGCTGTTGCTTTGACGTGGGCCAGGGGAAATGTCTTTTGCATCGATAGCTGAGAATCGTTACTGTGGACTGTCTAGAGGGATGAGACATAGCTGTATTTATCTTAGTTGCTTTGTAATACTCCTTTGAAAAATGAACTCTTACTCCTATCTGACTAAGAGCATTTAATTTATTGTAAATGCAGTGGTGAAATTTAATATCCAAAGCTTTCATCAATTTAAGGCCATTTTGAAAACTCAACTCCTTTGTTCAGAGTGCAGCCCCCATTTCACTTAATTTCCCATAGAGTGTCTTCTCATGATTTATGTTAATTTTCTCGTGGAAGCCCAAATCCTGATCTCATCATTGTGACTCACCAGTCAGAAAGGTCTAGGGCTAAAATTTACAGAGTTTGCTCTTTCCCTTGGGGACATGGAACAGATTTGTAGCCTCAGTGTTGGAAGGTAGAATTTCAAATAAGAAATGACAATGCAGCATTGTGTCAGGGCACTGGGTAGTGTTTGTCTCACACAAGGATAGAACGTTAATCCATTTTTGGTCAGGGTCAGCAACTTTCACATTTCTATATTTATTCTCAGCCTTCAGTTCTTCCATTGAATATGCAATATTACGTGAAACGATTCATCTCTGTGATGGCTGTTGATTGAATGAGTTTTTCAGATTCCTGAGAGAGCTGTTTCAGTAGTTATTCTGGTTATCTGCTATGCCAGGCATCTTCTAAGCACATTACTGACTCAACGACCATAGCTCTCTAAGGCTGAGCCAAAGTCTTGGTGCCTCTAAATTCAGTTTAAAAAATAAATATAATGAGCATTTTTAAATGAAAAAATTAATATCGACTGGAAACTGTTTACTATAATTGCCAAAATTAAATTGAGAGTTTATGACATGCCAGGTATAATCCTAATCACTTTCTATTCATTAATTTATTGGTTCTTTTTTGAGGTAGGTACAATTAGTATTCTTATTTTACAGATGAAAATAATTGAGGGAGCAAGAGGTTAGGTAACTCACCCAGAGTCACCAACTAATAACTACCTGACTAGAATCCAGGTATCCCTAACTTGGGAACCTGAATGTCTAACTACCAAGTTACTTGGCCTCATGGCCTCCTGGTCAACATCAATGATGACTTGAGAAGAAAGAGGAACATTCAGGAAGTGTGAAAAATATGTGAGGCTAGAGCAGGAAGAAGGGAAAACCAAGACTTGTGAACTGGAAAACTGGGCGGGGAAGGCAAGAGAAATGGGGGTGAAGTGGGTGGATAGAAGGGTTGAGGAGAGGATATATTGTGAGGAGCAAACAGGAATGAAAAACCACTGCGGCTGCCTTCCTTGGGGAGAAGGCTGAGCTCCTGTGGTTCTAAGGAATATTCCAGAATCCAGGGGGTTAGCTTAAACAAGTAGCTTCTGAAGAAGCAGTCAGTAGAGTCTTTACAGTTTTCAAGTATGGAAACAGGAGAGCAAGTGTAGCTGAACTGGAATAAGGGAGAGTAGAGTTCAAGAGAGAAGCCAGACTTACTGATAAATGAGTGTTTTCCAATAGCTGCTTTGTGCAAGTACATTATGCAAAGATAGAATCTATAATTAGTCAACATACCTGTATTTGTTGATTCAAGTAAAACCTGTATTAAGCATCTACTGTGTGAAAAACCCCGTATTAAACACTGAAGAGGATCCAGTATAAAATACATTTCAAAATTTTTAGTGGTGTGTGTGTGTGTGTGTGTGTGTGTGTCTATGTACACTAGTATCGGTAGAAGCAAGGACATTAACATGAGACAAGTGTATGATTACTATATTACAAAGTATAGCAATGTAGGTACCGTAAAGGAGATACAAAAATCCAAAACGCTGCAAGGCTTCCAAAAATGTAGGGGACTCTACTCAGTTAAAGGACTGGGAAAGATTTCTTGGCGAAAGGGGTGTTTGAGGAGAGCTTTGAGAGATAGAGAGGATTTTCGTGGATGATAAATGTGGGACATACATTGAACTTCAGAGAACTCAGAAATAGTTGTTTTAAGCTGAATCTGCCCCAGGATTTTACTAATGTAAGATATTCTTTTCTCTCCCCAAAGTGAAGACTTAGATAATCTCAACAAAATGAACAAAAGCTTGAATAGGTAAGATTTTAAAACATCTATTTTTTCGCTTTATTACTGAATTTGCTTTGTTATTTTTCAGTATTTGAGCATGAGGACCCATATACTGGGCTAGTCAAAAGCGTCCTACAAATCTTGAATAAAAAGCTTGCAGAAATCGTTTCATCATTGTTATAAATGGTTATTACAATTTAAAGACACTAATATTGAAGTGTCTTTGATTTTCACACACCAGTGTTTAGTAAGGCAGTTATAAAAATAACCACATTTCTCTTCCTGAATGCTAATATATTAGTATGTAAACAATTTGGTTTGGTCACTGAATGCTTGTAGTTGAACCACTACAAAAACCACTCATCTTCTTAGTTAACATTATCTCCTTATTGTGAGTCATTTGTAATTGCATAACTTAAAGATCATATTAATTGAGGTTTGTGTTAGAGGTCTGTGCAATTTTAGTTCTCTCTCTGTTACTTGGCACACTAACATACAAAACGGGCAGGGACCAAAGTGATGAAGAAACAAAGCAAATGTCCGTTTTCTTATCTATAAAGAGAGGAGGCATTAGATTAAGAATCAGACTTCATGGCCTACTGGGACCAGGCAGGGATAGATGAGTGAAGGGAGCTGGCTCTGTATTGTAGAGGGAGCGCCCTGACCGGGAGAGCCCAGCTGTTTCTCAGCTCCAGCTGATGTTGCCACATGAGAATTTGAGCCTAAAATTGCAGGACATTTTCAGGAGATCCTGAAACTCCAGGTGTCTACATGTAATGGCCAGCTTTGTAAATATTGGTCCACATAAAAAACAAAAACACTCCATGAACCCAAACAACACATCCATGAACCTATTACAGCTTGTAGATCCCCAGTCTGTATCTTTTCTTTTCTTTAAGATCCACTGCAACTTAAATTTTGAGTCTAGGAAGATACCTGTTTGGAATAAAGTGATTTCAAGAATTGTAGCTCATCTTTCCTAACCAGCTATTTTTCCTGTCTTAGGTATAAACTTATCTATGTTTTTATGAGTTAAGTATCCATTATTAGCACTGATGAGACTCTTTGTTCAATACATTTAAAGAAATAAGGGTATTGATGGTCTCTTTAGAGCAAATCTTAAGGCAGAGCCAACAGAGAAAATGTAAGTGTGTCTGTCTCTAACCTGAAAATATTATCTCCCAGATTGCTTGTTTTATTCTTTCAGACATTATTAGCTGGAAGGGAGTTATGTCCTCTGGCATAAAAATGTCCTAGCAGATGGGGCAGTGCACTCAGTATTGTAAATTTAGTTCAGACATGATTGCCCAGAAGGATTTCTGCTGCTCTATTCAGTAAGAGTAAATGAGCAATTCATGAAAAATTTTTACTGTATCTGACCTTTCAAGATACCAGACAATTTTATTTCAATATGCAGTCTTTTATTTGAATTTCTTTGTGTTTTATAGACCCAAAAGCCTTGAAAATCTCATTGTTGTGAATACCCAGACAGACAAAGATGGCAAAGGGTAAGATTTGATTGAGACTCATACAGGCTTCTTTGATTGAGTCCTAAACTGTATGCCATTTCCTGGGGAGACCCCCTGCTCAAGACAAAAGTCAGACAGGCTGGTGGAAGAGGCACTTTATCAGGGTCAGGAGATGGGTCGGTGTCTTGGTGCTGGCTCTGCCACCAACATCAATCTGGGTGACCCTGGACAAGTAGCTTAACCTCTGGAGACCTCTGTTTCCTCAGTCCATAAAATGAAGGGTATGATCTAGATGGTCTCTAAGTTCCCTTTTACATCTAAAAGTGAAAGAAATCAAACTGACTGTTACAAGTAGTGAACAGTAGGCTGGTTTATGAACTAAATATGTTCACTATAGGACATATTGATACTGGGAGCATAGCCCCTCACCACTGAAGTCTTTCTAAGGGACTGAGGCATTTTTCAGTTGGAATCTTGATTGAGTCACTTCATATGTATATCACTCAGATATACTTGTAAACATCTCAAGGTCAAAAGCCATGCTTTTATTTATTTTGTATCATAAAAAAGATTAATTAATGATCAGTAACCATTAATTTAAAGAGCATTTAAAGAGGTTAACTTATAGTTTTAGACTGACACTGATATACTAGAAAATGAATTACTACTGACATTATTTTTCATGTTGAAAGAAATCAAACTTTGGACAGTTTCATTAAAGAAAATCCCAGAACAATCAAGAATGACAAAGGATAAAGATTTCTGAGGTCTCTACTGCTTTTTCTCCAGATTGGCTGTTTATCTTGTATTCAGTGTGTCATTAGATTTGCCTTTTCCTACCATGATGATTATTTCTATTGTCCTGGTTATCTTTAAAAACCATTGATCTGTGCCAAGCTGTGCACAGATGGGTATTCTAGCATTCCAAGTCAAACTCTGCAGTATGCCTTCTTAACCCTCTCTGATGTAGAACACAACAAAGTCTATATAACGAAAAGTGGGGGCAATCACAAACTCCATTCAGACACTGAACACTTATTACCAACATATTACTATAATGTGAATGTGCAAACATTATTACAGGTGATTTTTTTTTCCAAATGGGGAACAGATGAAGTGGAAAGCAGTCAGTTCTCTGTAAGTGGCTGTATGAGTTTTACAGGAAAAGATGAGATTTCAGGTTTTTTAAGAAATGAACTTTGGAAAATGAAATTAAACATCCTCTAGAAGGAATAAATAGCAGAATAGCTGGAGCAGAGGAACAGATAAGTGACCTGGAAGATAAAATAGTGGAAATAACTACCACAGAGCAGAATAAAGAAAAAAGAATGAAAAGAATTGAGGACAGTCTCAGAGACCTCTGGGACAGCATTAAACGCACCAACATTCAAATTATAGGGATCCCAGAAGAAGAAAAGAAGAGAGGGACTAAGAAAATATTTAAAGACATTATAGTTGAAAACTTCCCTAATATGGGAAAGGAAATAGTCAATCAAATCCAGGAAGCACAGAGAGTCTCATACAGGATAAATCCAAAGAGAAACATGCCAACACACATATTAATCAAACTATTAAAAATTAAATACAAAGAAAAAATATTAAAAGCAGCAAGTGAAAAACAACAAATAACATACAAGGGAATCCCCATAAGGTTAACAGCTGATCTTTCAGCAGAAACACTGCAAGCCAGAAGGGATTGGCAGGACATATTTAAAGTGATGAAAGGGAAAAACCTACAACCAAGATTACTCTACCGATCAAGGATCTCATTCAGATTCAATGGAGAAATTAAAACCTTCACAGACAAGCAAAAGCTAAGAGAATTCACGCCACCAAACCAGCTTTACAACAAATACTAAAGGAACTTCTCTAGGCAGGAAACACAAGAGAAGGAAAACACCTAAAATAACAAACCCAAAACAATTAAGAAAATGGTAATAGGAGCATACATATTGATAATTACCTAAAATGTAAATGGTTTAAATGCTCCAACCAAAAGACATAGACTGGCTGAATGGATACAAAAACAAGACCTGTATATATGCTGTCTACAAGAGACCCACTTCAGACCTAGGGACACATACAGACTAAAGAGGGGATGAAAATGATACTCCGTGCAAACGGAAATCAAAAGAGAGCTGGAGTAGCAATTCTTATAGCAGGCAAAATAGACTTTAAAATAAAGACTATTACAAAAGACAAAGAAGGACACTACATAATGATCAAGGGATCAATTCAAGAAGAAGATATAACAATTGTAAATATTTATGCACCCAACATAGGAGCACCTCAATACATAAGGCAAACGCTAACAACCATAAAAGAGGAAATCAACAGTAACACAATCATAGTAGGGGACTTAACACCCCACTTTCACCAATGGACAGATCATCCAAAATGAAAATAAATAAGGAAACACAAGCTTTAAATGATGC